ACTCATATCTGTCAATAGTAACTCTGAACGTGAACGGGCTTAATGACCCCATCAAAAGGCGCAGGGTTTCAGACTGGATAAAAAAGCAGGACCCATCTATTTGCTGTCTACAAGAGACTCATTTTAGACAGAAGGACACCTACAACCTGAAAATAAAAGGTTGGAGAACCATTTACCATTCAAATGGTTCGCAAAAGAAAGCAGGGGTAGCCATCCTTATATCAGATAAACTAAAATTCACTCCGAAGACAGTAGTGAGAGATGAAGAGGGACACTATATCATACTTAAAGGATCTATCCAACAAGAGGACTTAACAATCCTCAATATATATGCCCCGAATGTCGGAGCTGGCAAATACTTAAACGAATTATTAACCAAAGTAAAGAAATACTTAGATAATAATACACTTATACTTGGTGACTTCAATCTAGCTCTCTCTACCCTTGATAGGTCTTCTAAACACAACATCGCCAAAGAAACGAGAGCTTTAAATGATACACTGGACCAGATAGATTTCACAGATATCTACAGAACTTTACATCCAAACTCAACTGAATACACATTCTTCTCAAGTGCACATGGAACTTTTTCCAGAATAGACCACATACTGGGTCACAAATCGGGTCTGAACCGATACCAAAAGATTGGGATCGTCCCCTGCATATTCTCAGACCATAACGCCTTGAAATTAGAACTCAATCACAAGAAGAAGTTTGGAAGGACCTCAAACACGTGGAGGTTAAGGACCATCCTGCTAAAAGATAAAAGGGTCAACCAGGAAATTAAGGAAGAATTAAAAAGATTCATGGAAACTAATGACAATGAAGATACAACTGTTCAAAATCTTTGGGATGCAGCAAAAGCCGTCCTGAGGGGGAAATACATCGCAATACAAGCATCCATTCAAAAACTGGAAAGAACTCAAATACAAAAGCTAACCTTACACATAAAGGAGCTAGAGAAGAAGCAGCAAATCGACCCGACGCCCAGCAGAAGAAGAGAGTTAATTAAAATTCGAGCAGAACTCAACGAAATTGAGACCAGAAGAACTGTGGAACAGATCAATAGAACCAGGAGTTGGTTCTTTGAAAGAATTAATAAGATAGATAAACCATTAGCCAACCTTATTAAAAAGAAGAGAGAGAAGACTCAAATTAATAAAATCATGAATGAGAAAGGAGAGATCACTACCAACACCAAGGAAATACAAACGATTTTAAAAACATATTATGAACAGCTCTACGCCAATAAATTAGGCAATCTAGAAGAAATGGACGCATTCCTGGAAAGCCACAAACTACCAAAACTGGAGCAGGAAGAAATAGAAAACCTGAACAGGCCAATAACCAGGGAGGAAATTGAAGAAGTCATCAAAAACCTCCCAAGACACAAGAGTCCAGGGCCAGATGGCTTCCCAGGGGAATTCTATCAAACGTTTAAAGAAGAAATCATACCTATTCTACTAAAGCTGTTTGGAAAGATAGAAAGAGATGGAGTACTTCCAAATTCATTCTATGAGGCCAGCATCACCTTAATTCCAAAACCAGACAAAGACCCCACCAAAAAGGAGAATTACAGACCAATATCCCTGATGAACATGGATGCAAAAATTCTCAACAAGATACTAGCCAATAGGATCCAACAATACATTAAGAAAATTATTCACCATGACCAAGTAGGATTTATCCCCGGGATGCAAGGCTGGTTCAACACTCGTAAAACAATCAATGTGATTCATCATATCAGCAAGAGAAAAACCAAGAACCATATGATCCTCTCATTAGATGCAGAGAAAGCATTTGACAAAATACAGCATCCATTCCTGATCAAAACTCTTCAGAGTGTAGGGATAGAGGGAACTTTCCTCGATATCTTAAAAGCCATCTACGAAAAGCCCACAGCAAATATCATTCTCAATGGGGAAGCACTGGGAGCCTTTCCCCTAAGATCAGGAACCAGACAGGGATGTCCACTCTCACCACTGCTATTCAACATAGTATTGGAAGTCCTAGCCTCAGCAATCAGACAACAAAAAGACATTAAAGGCATTCAAATTGGCAAAGAAGAAGTCAAACTCTCCCTCTTCGCCGATGACATGATACTCTACATAGAAAACCCAAAAGCCTCCACCCCAAGATTGCTAGAACTCATACAGCAATTTGGTAGCGTGGCAGGATACAAAATCAATGCCCAGAAATCAATGGCATTCCTATACACTAACAATGAGACTGAAGAAAGAGAAATTAAGGAGTCAATCCCATTTACAATTGCACCCAAAAGCATAAGATACCTAGGAATAAACCTAACCAAAGAGGTAAAGGATCTATACCCTAAAAACTATAGAACACTTCTGAAAGAAATTGAGGAAGACACAAAGAGATGGAAAAATATTCCATGCTCATGGATTGGCAGAATTAATATTGTGAAAATGTCAATGCTACCCAGGGCAATTTACACGTTCAATGCAATCCCTATCAAAATACCATGGACTTTCTTCAGAGAGTTAGAACAAATTATTTTAAGATTTGTGTGGAATCAGAAAAGACCCCGAATAGCCAGGGGAATTTTAAAAAAGAAAACCATAGCTGGGGGCATCACAATGCCAGATTTCAGGTTGTACTACAAAGCTGTGGTCATCAAGACAGTGTGGTACTGGCACAAAAACAGACACATAGATCAATGGAACAGAATAGAGAATCCAGAAATGGACCCTGAACTTTATGGTCAACTAATATTCGACAAAGGAGGAAAGACGATCCACTGGAAGAAAGACAGTCTCTTCAATAAATGGTGCTGGGAAAACTGGACATCCACATGCAGAAGAATGAAACTAGACCACTCTCTTGCACCATACACAAAGATAAACTCAAAATGGATGAAAGATTTAAATGTGAGACAAGACTCCATCAAAATCCTAGAGGAGAACACAGGCAACACCCTTTTTGAACTTGGCCACAGTAACTTCTTGCAAGATACATCCACGAAAACAAAAGAAACAAAAGCAAAAATGAACTATTGGGACTTCATCAAGATAAGAAGCTTTTGCACAGCAAAGGATACAGTCAACAAAACTCAAAGACAACCTACAGAATGGGAGAAGATATTTGCAAATAACATATCAGATAAAGGGCTAGTTTCCAAAATCTATAAAGAACTTCTTAAACTCAACACCAAAGAAACAAACAATCCAATCATGAAATGGGCAAAAGACATGAAGAGAAATCTCACAGAGGAAGACATAGACATGGCCAACATGCACATGAGAAAATGCTCTGCATCACTTGCCATCAGGGAAATACAAATCAAAACCACAATGAGATACCACCTCACACCAGTGAGAATGGGGAAAATTAATAAGGCAGGAAACAACAAATGTTGGAGAGGATGTGGAGAAAAGGGAACACTCTTACACTGTTGGTGGGAATGTGAACTGGTGCAGCCACTCTGGAAAACTGTGTGGAGGTTCCTCAAAGAATTAAAAATAGACCTGCCCTACGACCCAGCAATTGCACTGTTAGGGATTTACCCCGAAGATTCAGATGCAATGAAACGCCGGGGCACCTGCACCCCGATGTTTCTAGCAGCCATGTCCACAATAGCCAAACTGTGGAAGGAGCCTCGGTGTCCATCGAAAGATGAATGGATAAAGAAGATGTGGTTTATGTATACAATGGAATATTACTCAGCCATTAGAAACAACAAATACCCACCATTTGCTTCAACGTGGATGGAACTGGAGGGTATTATGCTGAGTGAAGTAAGTCAATTGGAGAAGGACAAACAGTGTATGTTCTCACTCATTTGGGGAATATGAATAATAGTGAAGGGGAATATAAGGGAAGGGAGAAGAAATGTGTGGGAGATATCAGAAAGGGACACAGAACATAAAGACTCCTAACTCTGGGAAACGAACTAGGGGTGGTGGAAGGGGAGGAGGGCGGGGGGTGGGGGTGAATGGGTGACGGGCACGGAGGGGGACACTTGACGGGATGAGCACTGGGTGTTATTCTGTATATTGGTAAATTGAACACCAATAAAAATTAATTTATAAAAAAAAAAAAAAAAAAAAAAAAAAAAAAAAAAAGAAAACTGTACACTAATATAAAGATACTATTTTTCATTATTAACAAGTAGTTCTATTCCTGCTTATTCCCCCTGTACACCTCATCGTACAAGTAAAAGGTGCTGAAAAAGAAGAAAAAAGAAGGAAAAAGTAAAACAATCTCAGAAAAAGAGCAGAGGCAAAAAAAGGAAAAAAAGGGGGGATAATTGTTGATATAAAAGGAAAAACAGTATGTCAACTATCTCAACATATGAGCATCACATTAGAAATCAAAATTATGACATCATTTTCTTCCTACTCAGCATGCAATGCTACTCTTCACCCAGCAGAGCTGGTGGACAGATATTTCAGAGGCCGTAAAACATACTTTCTATATGATTCCAGGACCAGTCAGAAAGAAGGAGAAGGCGAGAAGATAAACAGACCCCGAGAGAAATGAGGTGGTCACTGTGTAAAATTTGACTATCCAGCAGTTCCATCTGTAGGAAACCTAATTGTGAACAAGCCACAAGCAAGAAAGGGTTCTACCTGCCAAAACAGGTGTTACCAAGTCTGTACAGAAAAGATCACATGGAAGCCTTGGAAGAAATTAGAATCCCTGATAACATAAAATGCAAGGAAATCATACACATATGGACCTATTTGCAACTATTTTGGGCTACATTTAAAAAAGCATGTTTTTACAATTTCCAAGTTTACAGCACATCAGAGCAGCACACTGGGAGAAGGATGAGGAGATGCTAGTAGGGGGCACAGGACAGCAAAGGGTAACCAAAAAGGGGAGCTGTATCCCAAGGAAAGGGACCCAAACAAGCCAAACCAAACCAAGCAAACAAACTACTAAAAAACAGCAGGTCTCAAAGGCACAGGAATTTGAGGTCCCTGCTTCTGGGCAGGACAGGACCAGCCCTTCCTTCCAGCTCTAGACTTCCTTACCATGCAGTTTGTAAACGGAGTTCTTCAGGATTCTGGACAGTGGAGAGACTCGGTGAGACGCAGCAACCAGAGAACAGCCGGACAGAGCTGGGCGCCAGTGGGGTGGTGGATAGATTAGACTCTAGCTCTCTACAGATGCCACCTTCCACCCAAGCAGCTCGTCTTCATTCAGCTTTACTTAATGCGGCCCCTTGGATGAAAGGGCCCTGTTGGTTTAAAAATAAATTTTTTTCATTAAAATTTGACCACCACTAACCCTCACACTCCAGGATCCTTAAATGCAATTGGTTCCAATGTAGCAATGGAATCTGTGCCAGGAGTTGGGGAGAGGGAGGCATGGGTGGGTAGAGCAGAGAGGACTTTTAGCGCAGTAAGAACTATTCTGTATGCTACTACAGTGGTTGATACTATCATCTGCACATTACACATTACACATTTGTGCAAATCCATAGAATGTACAACACCCTATGGACTTTGAGTGATAATGATGGACCAGGGTAGGTTTATCAGTTGTAACAAATTAACTACTCTATGCAAGGTTGGGGGGAGGGCAGAAGGTATATGGGAACTCTGTACTTTTCACTCAATTTTTTCTGTGAACCTAAAACTGCTCTAAAAAAAAAGTTTACTTTTTTTTTTAAAGAGAAAAAAATGGAACCTATGGAACCTGTAAGCTTTCTTAAACCAGGTTTTCTTCCTGCGTTCCATATTTTCTGTTAACACCACTCTGGATCCACTTGCTCAAGCTAGAAAGAGAAAAATCCCATGGAAATTTTATTCCTCTTCTTCCTCAATCACACATTCGATAGGTCATTAAATCCTGTGGATGGACCCTCCCACATATTTCATTGCTATGCCTAATCCCAGGCATCCCTAATGAGTGCTCCTCACAGGCAGCTGTGCCCTACTGAGCCTCCCCTTATCTACCTCTGTCCCCCAAAGAAAGTACCCCCTTTTGGGCCACTAATGCCCTGTCATTCCAAGTCCAGAGCAGATCCTGTCATGCTTTTTAGGGACACACCTTTCTGTGAGACTGAAGCAGAATGGGACATTAACTCTTTGCCGGGGATGAGATGAAAAGTATTTTATTTGTGCATTAAAATGTTTGTTATCATAAAAAATCACACAAATTTGTCACCAAATTTCTTTTTTTTAAAGATTTTGATTTTCTTTTAATTTTGTCTCCAAGTTTCTTTCTTTTTTTTTTTTTTAAGATTTTATTTTCTTTTAACTAATCTCTGTACTCAGTGTAAGGCCCAAACTCACAACACCGAGACCAAGAGTTACATGCTCTGCCAACTAAACCAGCCAGGCAACACCCTCCCCTCATCTCCAAATTTTTACTATGGGCATGCATTTATATATTTTACATGAAAAAAAAAAAAAGGAAACAAAAAAACAAAAACAGTATCCTGGGTAAGATTTAATGCTTTAGCATCACTTTCAAACTGGGCTCTTCACAATCTTTCTCCTCAGATTACATTCCCAGGCTCATCAATCCTCACTCCTTTTGTACTTCACAGCCTCCCCTCTGCCCTGAGACCTGTGTGCAGCTACATCCTGGAAACCTTCCCCGCAGCCCAAGGCAGTAGCATTAATCAGTTCTCCACAGCTCCTCTGGGCTTCCACAGCACCTACCATATACGTTCAGGAGAGCACAATGACACTTGGCTTTCTTACGTTGGTTATTTGTTTTCCCCAGAGACACACTCAGCTCCTTACGAAAGCCACAGGCCACGCCACAGAGTGGTCTGAATTGCCTAACTCTATGTCTGGCATGCAATAAATGTTGGATGAATGAAGGTAAAATCCAGTTTCATCAATAACATTCACTACTGTATTATTAAGCCCTATATAATTAGGCTACCTTTTGACCTACAGCCCATCACTTTGCTGATGTAGTATAACAAATCCCTTTGACAAGTAGAAGCATATAACGCACTCCCTCCTTCCTGTGCATTTAGCAATCTTTCTACTTACAGCATTGTTATATAGAACACTAACATGTATATGAATACCTGCAAAGTGCTAAATAGCTATAAATAATATTTAAAAATTTTAAAAAATGGTGTGTGGGTAATTTCTAAAGTTTTATTGATGTGTGTGTATTGTGGGAGGTTGAATTTCCTGGCCAAGGGCTGCTTGAGTGGTGGAGATTATAAACTGATGGACGAGAATCACTCATAACTGTGTTATGAATCACTGTTTAGGGAAGTTCAGCTTTTTAATTGTCAAAAGCATTCGTGAAGCAGTGGAGATGGTGTGTCAACCACCATCTCACCAACTTCCCTAGGTGTTGATGTGGCCATTTAGAAGCACCATGCCACTTCAATCTTTCTTCAATCTCTTTTTTAAATTTAAATTCAATTAGCCAACATATACTAATATCATTAGTTTTAGATGTAGAGTTCAGTGATTTAGCAGTTGCATAGAACACCCAGGGCCCGTTACATCACGTGCCCTCCTTAATCTAACCATCTGTCTTCGATCTCTTTCAAACTCACCTTTGATGATGTGATTCTCCTGTTCAAATCCTTTAGTATTTCTCTTTTGACCACAGGCTAAAATTTAAGTTTTCTCTTGCCTACAGATTAAAATCCAAGCTCCTTATCCTTTCCTCTGCCTTGTTCTACAAAACACCAAAGTATCTTAGGGAAGAAAGAGGATGGTGTTTGAAGGGAGAAATGTAACAAGTATCAATGATGTAACAAGTATCAATGATGAGCCAGACACCAATGCCAGGTGCTGGTATTTTAAGATAAGACACGGTCCCGTCCCTCTCTGATATCACAGTCTACAGGGGAGACAGAAATCTAAACACATTATTGCCAGACAGGTGATAGATTATTATAACTGATATTAAAAGGGTCAGGGGTGGTTTTTTGTGGGAGGAGCCATGCACACTCACTCTTGAACCAGTAGAAGGTAAGGGGAAAAACCAGAGAAGCAAAGGCTCTCCTCTTGACAGACACAGTAGTACAATTTCAGGCCCAGGGATGTCTTCAGCAACCTTCAGTTCTAAACAAGGATTTACTGCAGGAACCTCTATTCCCATTTTGTACTTCACTTTTATTTAGAGCCCTAAGCTCCAAATGGGACTATTGTAATTATCCTTGTCAAGGGTGACTCAAAACTCACATGCAGTAAAAATGGAATTCTAACCAGGAAAAATACAGAGAAATCCAAATAGATTACTTTTTTTTGCATAAATAATATTGGATACATATTCTGATATTTGCTTTCCTGACCTCTCTTTCTAATTAGGCTATGAAATCCTGGAGATCAAGATTTTATTTCCTTTGGTACTTTATTTTGTTATATGGTCCTTAAAGTTTGGGGCCTCATAGGCAGTGTAAGTATAATAGGCACAGAATAAACAATTATTGAATGAGTGACCTATATAAGACCTCCAAATTTGTAAGTCTCACTTTCTAGCACACTTACTACATGCACAAAATCACATTTTAAAACCCCAAACATAATCCAGACAATATTTTGAAAAAAATTAAAAATGTGTATTTGCAATCAACTTAGATCAATGACAACAGAAAGGATGTGCCACTCTTTGAAATAACACCTAGGCACCAACCTGCCATTATTTGCAAACACTGCCAACACCTAATGACTGCTTTGTGTAAAACAACCAACAAGTTCTAAGGGAAGCATTTATGAACACAAGGGTTCTCTTTGACAAACACCTAACTCTTGCTCCTAAAAATGAAATTCTACAGCCACCAAGAAATAGGGAAAGAATGATATAAATGCATCAATAAGTGAAAGAAAACCACAGAAGAAGTAAAATCTTTTTTAGCTTTAACACATTTTCTCATCTTCCACATTCACAGGCTTCTAATAGTCATTCATATCATTAATCACAGCCATTAATCATAACTGTAACAATAATCACTCATATTATTAATCATAACCATTAATCACTGGCAGTACCACTTTATGAGCCAGTTGTGCCAATTTTTTTTTTAAGATTTTATTTATTTATTCTTGAGAGACACAGAGAGAGAGGCAGAGACGCAAGCAGAGGGAGAAGCAGGCTCCATGCAGGGAGCCCGACGTGGGACTCGATCCCGGGACTCCAGGATCAGGCTCTGGGCCAAAGGCAGCGCTAAACCGCTGGGCAACCGGGGCTGCCCCAGTTGTGCCAATTTCTAGGTAGTCATTTGGAAACTGGAATTCATTTTCCCAGAAAAACAGTGTCCTGAGGGCTGATATATTCCCTGGCCAGGCCACTGAGGCCCTCTGAGCTCCTGATACAAGCAGCTTCTAATACTGCTAACACCAGCCCAAATAAGCAATGTAAGCATTTGGCACAGGTAAGCTTGCCCAAGCTAAGGTGTCTCGAACCCTCGCAACTGCCCCAATGCACAAAGTTTTCAATGAACTCTTCCTCCTTCCTACTCCAGCCAAACTCCAGTTCCCTCCTGTGTGATTCCCAGCAAAGACAAGAACAATATGGATCAATGAATTTATAATGAAGCATAAATAGAAGTCAAATATTCTACCATGAGATGGAAAACTCCGTTAGAATCTGTGAATCCTTTTCCGAGTTATTTTCTAAAATGTGTGGCTCCCAAGTCGGTTAAATTTAGATACAAGAATTCAGAAAGTAACTCCCAGCACTTCAGTTGAACTTTTCCATCCATCAAACTCTCCCGGAAAAACAGAATCTGTAAATCTGATCTTAGAGCCTCCACAGCCCACAAGTACTTAGGACAAATCCTTCTAGGCTTCTGATCAATTGTCCCAAACTACAGTTCTGGATCTATCTCTTACCCTACCCATGTCGCAATTTCTGCATGTCATCAAATCAAATCAAATCAAATCAAATCATAGTCATACACACTACCAAAGCAAATCTCCGTGTGATCAGCTTCCGAGCAATTTAAGAGATTAGAAATGAAAAATTTTAGGCCACGTGGAAGATGATATTCCTGGAGTTAAAGCGGGTTGGGATAAAGTGGGCTCATGGCCCACTCCAGCAGAGGAAGCACTCTCAGGATCAGTGAGTGAATCTAAGCTGTTGCTACTTAGAGAGTGTTTACACTTCCACTTCTCCCAAAGCCTCTCTCCAGGTTGTTTCAGAAGGAATCTCCAGTGTCAACACGTCTGGGTGGCTCCCACAGCACACGTACACTTTACAGATAATTTGTCTAATGGTAGAAAACTAGAGTTTTCTCCAGTTCACTGGAGTTCTGGGATGAATGCTCATCCCTAGTAATCTCAGTGTTTATAAACCAAAGACTGCTTTGCACTAAACCCATTTCATGACTGAGGAATCCATGTTTTCCATTTAGAGTCCTTCAAAATTAAATTTGAAAAGGGGAAAAGAAAGTGCTCAAATATTAAATTTCCCCAAGGGGCAATTCATATACCAAAGCAATTCCACCAATGATATTATGTAATCACAATACAGAGACAGAAAAAACCTGATATTTAGTACTTTCCCCCCCCCCCCAGAAAGAGAATCAAAATTGTCTTTACAGGAAAAATCAGAACTTTGTAGGACTCCCTTACATTTATTTTATGGGTTAAATTTTTATCTTTGAATTAAATATGAGTTAGAACATGAAGGGGAAGAACCAAAATCTTTTATGTGTTTAAATTTTAAGATTTTATTTATTTACTTGAGAGATGGAGCACAAGAGAGAGACAGAGACAGAGAGACAGAGAGAGAGAGAGAAAGAAAGAAAATGAGCAGGGGGGAGGAGCAAAGGAAGAGGGAGAAGCAGTCCCCCCAGTGAGCAGAGAGCCCCTTACAACACAACAGGCTCAGTCCCAGTACCTCAGGATCTGACCTGAGCCAAAGGCAGACACTTAATCAACTGACCCACCCAGGAGCCCCCTTTTCAGTGTTTATGACTTCTTAAATGATAACAAAGCTGTACACACACATTTATAATTCATTTCTTACTATTTCTGCATTTCAAGTTTTGAATTTAAATTTTATGTCAGAGTCTCTTTGATTCTTAGAAAATTGGTTTTGAGTTGATTATACTTCCCAATTAAAACTGTAAAATTCAATGTATTATAGAGGCATGATGTTTATACACAAATTATATTTTTACATTATACTATCCCTATTAATTATGAGTCACTTAACAGAATATGACGCATTTTAAGAAATGATTTAGTATTGTTTGGTAACACAATGAGCAAGGCACAGAGGGAGATTCAGCTCTCTGAAAAGGCTGATAAGAAGACCCTTTATACATCCAACCTGACCAAAACACCTCATCTCAGTAGCAGTCTTTTTTTCTTAGTTTGAAAGAAAGCATAGTTTGAAATATATACACTAAAAACAGTATCAATTTTTAACTGGCTGGGGTCGGGGAGAGGGATCAGCATATCATGTTAGCAATTTTCGGTGGAATCACATTAGAGTTTCATTGTGGTAGCCGTATCACATTAAAATCTGTTTTTTTTTTTTTTTCTAAATGGTTTCCATTGTGTATTTAGTGAATCTGATATGGAAAATTGCTAATGCAATAAGAGTATCATATAAGCTTTCCTGACTGTAATGCTCAGCCACAATATTCAGGAGAAGACGTTCAACTAGACTGGAGGCATTTCAGAGCTAGCTCTCCACAGCCTCTGAACAAAGACCTCAGCTTAAGTTCAACATTGGCTTCTGGAAAGATGGGCCGCTGAGACCCACTATATGGGGGAAACTCTCTTACAGATTTTATTTCTGGAAAAACCATGGGTTCAGTGAAAGATGTGTTATTTAATTAATATTTACTGACTGAGCACTAGGCTGGACACTGCGATTGGCATTACAGAAATGAAAAAGATAGATGAAACATGGTCCCTTCCTTCACAGATCTTGAAAGCACTGACTGATGAGAAGAAATAAATGAGCACATGAATAACTTAAGATGAGATGTGGCAAGAGTGGAAGATACAAAGAGCCATAGCAGCTCAAAGGAGAACACACCAAAGCCAGGGTTATCAGAGAAAGTTCTGTGAAGGCAGCACCTGGACAGAGCCATAGAATGTGAGGAAGACACAGATAATCTAAGGATCTGATGCTAGGTTGGGAAGCAGGGGATGGCATTCTAGGCCTTAGCATGAGTAAAGATTCAGAGAAAAGGAAGCCTGGGCATGTGTAGGAAACTATAATTCATTATTTTAATGACAGCATAAAATATGGAAGGAGTGGGAAGATAAATCCGGAAAAGTTGTCTGGGGTCAGCCTGAGGCTGCCACCAAAGGAGAGTAGTGCAGAGTGTTTGGGATGGTTTGGGGTGGAAGTGACAGGATGCAGTCCACTGGCAAGATTAACACCCAGCTTTCACGGGTATGATGGCTTTTAATGCTAACAGATCTTGTGAAATCTTAACAACTTTAGTTAGCATACGTTTCTTGAGACACAATTTACAGGAATATTTATTTTAAAAAGTTAGTTTATTGCCAAGGGGTAATTGTTTATTTTTTGTTATGTGACTACTCATAACATGGACCTTCACCAGCTTAACAGAAAAAAAAATCTATAAAGCATGCTCAAACTATTAGAACTACTTATGAATTTACCGTTTGCTTTTTTTTTTTTTTGCTTTAGAATAACTTTTCAACTCACTAGCAACAGTAACCAAGGAAATATAAATCCAACAGCCTAGAATTACAACTATTTGAAGAGATTCATGCTTTCAATGTACTGCTATATTTATTCTTTTATTCTGGAAGCTTCTCTGTTTCTGAATTCCCCTCCAAATGTTAGAAGCAATAAACAAAATCTGCACTCAGGTTTAAAATGTAATTAGTATGTTTTGCAATTTAAAAAAAAAAAAGGTCTTAATTTTCCATAACCTTTACTTTCCCTTAAAGCAAAGTACAGTCTGTGGGTAAGTACTATTTCTGACTTACTAAAGGCTAATATGATGAAATTGCTGTTTTATTTATTGCAAAAGGAATGTGAGATATAAACTAGTTAGTTGCCTAAGTGCCATAGTGACCACTCCTGAAACATCAGCTCTCCCAATCTGGCAAAGGAAACTGCACTCTCATTAATCGGAATTTAACTATCCACAACACCTAAAACGAATATTTCAATCTTTATGAAGTAATTTCTCAACAGATTTCTTTTCTCCTTCAACTGGCCACATGGACAGAAAGGATAAACAAATCTGCCTGTTGTTTATTACTGATAGATATCCTTGGCAAGGTTTCATTAAAAACAACAACAACAACAAAGCTCTTCTTTCTCATACCATGTCTTGAGCAATCAGGGATGTAGTAGTTGACATCTGTGAACATTCTCTGATTAGCCATTAACTGAAGATATAGAAATAAAAGAAAAATATTTTAGAGGGAGAAAAGTCATATAGTTCATGCTGACGTTAAGACACTGATGATGATATCACAAAGATGTGACAATCATAAAGTTCTTAGGCGTTTAACCTAAAATTTGCTTATACCTTTGATCTGTAGTAAACACTGTACCGATAAAAATGAGTTTGTTCAGATTAAGAATACGTTGGCATTCTCTTGAACATAGCTTAAAACCACAGAGCTGAAGCATAAAACAACTGGGACAAAGATAGCCAGTCAAGCATAAATATGGGAGTTGGTTGTGTCAGAATAGATTAAGAGGCTGAGGGCTGTCTGCTAAAGACAGTTGTCTTGCCATCAATGAAGGCAATTATTATCACTAAAATGTTATTTTTCTGATATATCATCTTAAACTTTTGTCATATTATATTTAAAAATACCCCTTATTTATAAACTATTACATCATTTTCTTATCTGCAGTGTCCTTCTTGGAAAACCACAAACTTGAAAACAGTCCAAAATCTTGTTCATGGTTTCCTACAAGCATAGAAAGATTCACTTATTGAATTTGGAGTTAGGAGAATGCATTTGGGTTTTACTTTTGCTTCCTTTTTAAACACAGATCGCTATTTTAAAAATATAAACATCCGATGGCATTCCCTCACGCCGACAGGACTCCTGAGGCAGAAGATACATTTGTAGCGTGAACATTTCACTCACTCAGAAGGATGCCCCAAAAGCTCTGCTTAGTAATGGCCAAGGAGGTAGCACTATTAAATGCCTTATGACTTTCCAGTCATCCTCTATTATTCCTGCAAAAACCACACTTCCAGAAGATCATCCGAGAAACTCGGCAAACCACTGAAATGCCCTTGTAAACTGGATCCATCAAAAGCAGCCCACAGCATCTCGCGGGTGTGCATCCCGCTGTTAATCACCCGGTAGATAATTCACAGGCAATTTTATTCTGAAACTACATCTACATTCTTCGCAGGCTGTTTCTCAGGAGTACCACTCCCAACCCAGAAACGAGTCCACGGAGTATCTCTAAATTATCGCTTGAAATTTCCACTGTCGGGGGGGGGGGAGGAAGGGATAGGAAGGCATAGGAAGGGAAGGGTGTCAGGGCGCCGGCGAGGAGCCATCCTAAAAGTGTTTTCCCCGCTCCTCCTTGCGCTCACAATGCTGGCGTCAGGGAGTCTCGCGTCTGTTCCCCGCCTCGCCCCCTCCTCTCTCCGCGAGCTGGCACCGAAGGGGGGCGGAGGGAGGGACAGCACCCAGCTCCCCACACGACCCGAGCGCCAGCCCCAGGCACTCGAACAACCTTCCGGACTTTTTTCCCTTCCCGCTTCGCGTGTCTCAAAGGTAAGCGGAGCAAGAGAGCCCGCGAGACGGCGGCCAGGGCGGCCGGCTGAGCCACAATCACCGCCCCACTCCGGCTGCTCCACTGCCCCCCACTTTCGGCCGCAACAGACGGTTACTGAGCTCCGAGCCTGGGCGTCCACGGCGCCTGTCCCCGGCGCCCGACCGCCGCCCGGGGGCCAGCGCGCATCCCTGCCCACGCCCCGGCCCCACGCCCCGGCCCCTCGCCCCGGCCCCGGCGCCCGCCCCGGCCCCCGCCCCCGCCGCGGGACGAGCATCTGCTGCAGGTCCCAGGTGCCCGCGGCCCGGGCGCGCCGCCAAGGCTCCGAGCTGCCCCCTGCGGCCCCACCCCACCCCACCCCACCCCGAACAGGCTCCACCGAGGACCTCAGGGATGCAGAGTACAAAGAACCGAGTCACACACCGAAGGGCCTCGAGACTTCCCTCGGGGAACGACGTAGCCGCACAAGCGCGCGCACACGCACACGCACACGCGCACACACACACGCACAAGCGCGCGCGCTCGCCCGGAGCGGGCCGGGGAGGGCATCGCTTACCTGTCCCCGCGGTGCCACTCCTCCCTCCCCCACCCTAGGTCTGGCTGCCCCCCGCCCCCGCCGTGGTCCCCAGCCGCCCGCTCCGAGCGCGGCGCACTCACTGCGAGGCTGCGCGCGCCCAGCGGCTGCAGGGCCCGGCGGCGGCGGCGGCGGCGGCGGCGGCGGCGGCGGCGGCGGCGGCGGCGGCGGGGACCGAGACAGCGGCTGCGGCGGCGGCCCCAGCCGGCGTCAGTCAGACTGGAGCCGCGAAGCCTCATCGCCCGTATTAGTGCGCCGACCTGGAAAGCGGCCAGGAGCCCTGCGCACGGGTCCGCCCCGCCGCCCCGGGAGCCCGCGAGGCGGGGGGAGCGCGGCCTGCCCCGCGGCCACGTGCGCGGAAACTTGCTGCGGCGGCGCTCGGCGCGGCCCCGCGCTGCTCCCCGCCCCTGCGGGACCCGGGCTAGCCGCGGCGGGGGATCGAGCCCCGCGGGCGGGCCGCTGGGCCGAGGCTCCGGCCACCTCGCGTCTCGCCGTCCCGCCGGTCCTGAGAGGTCTTGTGTCCGCCTGGAGCCCGAGCCCGGGAGGGTCGTTGCCGGAACTCGAGGCGCAGAACCCGCAGATCGGTGCGGACCTCCCAACCCCCAACCAGCCACTCTTTCTGACACGTTCCGGGCCCTGACGGCTACTGTTACCTGCCGTCTGTTCCGCACCCGCTTTTCACACTAAAGGGATCCTTGCCCCCACCCGCAGCACCAAGCAACTGGTTTTGCACCGGCACGGGCAGAAGAAAATCTAATCACTGTAAGTGGTTAGCGGTGGTAAAAACTAGTCATGTAGTTATGTGGATTCTCATTTCTTTATGTGCATTTATTTGCTTAACACCCTAGCATATGATATATAATATTATTTAATAAAGATACACCCTGTGGGCGCTGAGCAACGTTAATGCACAACCTTCTTGCCTCGGGGCCTGGCTACCCCCGAGGCAGCTTGCTCTTTGAGGTCACTGTGGACTCCTGGAACCTACTCAATACATTTAGGAAAAGCCCTCAACATACTGATGTTCCCCATCGGCCAGTATCCCTTCATGGAAAAGGCGTTTAACTGCAGAGGCAAACATAGCATTGAGCATCAAGAGGACAGTATTCCTTTTGCTCCTATGTATAGAAAAATCATACCTCCAAAAGGCCCTGATCCCTCTGAAATGTAAATGCAAGGCTTCCAATTTAAATGTTTTTTCTACTTCTGAAAGCACTGTGCTTTCTTCCCCTGGCAGATGCCATTTTTGCATTATCATACTGTTGTGATTGAGCAATGACCTTGTATGAAAAGGCATTTGTGTTTGAACCTTAAACTCGAATTTAATTAAGTCCTACACCTGACCCATTTACCTCTATCTCTGCTCCAGGTCGGGTGTTAGGATTGAAACTGCTATGGGTGTGAAACACCAGGAAACGTTTGGACTGCTAAATGCTCCAGATAGGGCTTGATGTACACTTTATGACAAGTAAACTGATTAGGTCCTCAGAATTAATACCTTGTGGCTCACAAGGTTGATTTTGTTTTGTTTTTAATGTTATTGAGAAAAGAAATGGCCAGTCACTATTTCAGCTTCCGTATGTGCATTAGATGATTTAGAGGACACAATGCAGAGCAAGAAATTATAACCTCTGCAATGCTGGCTCATGCTTCTGGCATGGAATCTTTTTAAGTTCACAGAATTCTCTTGGCTCTTGGCAGGACTTGGATTTGCAGATTCTTTGTGTGTCGTCTGTTTGTTTGCTTTTTTTTTTTTCTGTATGTTATCATTTACATACCAAGAAATTTTGGCAATTAAAAGTTAGCCTGTCACTTATGCAGTTCCTATCATTTATTCCTGAAACCTAGTATAGAAAGTTTATCCATTGTATACAAGAACAATAAGATCTGGTAAGCTCCAAGGAGAAAAGACCCACTCCTGGAAAGAAGGCTCAGTGTTGACACTCCATTTTTCAGAAGCTAACTATCCTTGTGATAAGAAATCCAGACCCTGCTGGATTTTTTTCCTCTTGATTTCTTGATTAGCTGCAATGTTACACTTGTTAGAAATTTTACCAAACAACTATGTAATGGGAATCATATGAGGGGTGAGACTCAGTCACAGGTTGTGATTTGGTGGAACCTTCAATAAAATTTTGGTGCAAGACCTGAAAATCACAGTGAAACTAAGCTCTCCCTTTTCTGAATTGCAAGGACTTGGTGCAGCATGAGCAACTATAGCCTAGAGAACAGTATTAGGAGGTGTGTCCTTACCCATGAGAGAGTATCTGTCCTTTTCACTTGTTATATATGCTCAACATAGGACATGATTATGATAAAGGCTGTAGTCATCCATACATACAAAGATTCTGCTCTGTGCATCTGCTGTACCTGATGTTTGTTCTAGCATTATAATCGTTTCACTCAGAACCACAACTACGAATTGTTGCCTACACATCCCTTTCACTTCTAGTTTCTTTCATATATTTCATCTGTAGTTCTGCCCTAACTTGGCCCTTTTTCTGACTCCCTCTTGAACTTTTCTTCAAGCCATCATTCAGTCATTAACCAGTATTAAACCCTTTCCTGAGCACAGGTGCCTGGACAAGTCACGTGGACACAGAGCGCTGGTCTTAAGGAAACTGGGTCTCATTAGGAAAGACACGTATCAATGATTATCATACAACTTCAGTGTGTCACTTAGGGGTGAAGGCACAAGGGAGGTGTCAGGGAATCGCCACAGAAGCAAAATTCAGCTACATCCTTGGGAAGTGAATATGAATGACCACTGTCTCATAGCCAGAGAACCCCTCCCATACTCACAGTCTGGGTAGATGCAGCCCTGTGGGTGCCAGCTTTGTAGCAGAGTGCAGCTGCATTTTAGCCCCCTTGGCCAGGAGCTCTGATGGAGGCACGCAATGCAAAGGCAGTCCAGAATGCCTACTATGTGCAGAATACTTGAGGTTTTTATGTATGAAAACCTGAGTTCCTAAGAAAACTGTCAAACTAGTTGGATAAATAGGAAAAGTAATGTTATTAAGTCAAACGAGATCGGGCACGTTCAGGTTGGTATGGCCGTACACAAAATAACATTATTAGATAAGAATATCACCAAATAAGCATTCTGGGATTGCAACGAGGGAGTCATAAAGCATCTTGATTTGGTGGTAAAGAGTGAAAGCTAGTTCTTATTGTGAGATTCTCCCTGCCAGGACCAGGTTAGGCTTTATGCACATCATCTTGTTTCACCCTCATGATGTCTTGGGATGGGAATTATCCTGTTTTGCAGTTGAGACATCTGAGGCATAACCAAATGTCCCCAAGTAACTGACTCAGAACTCAAACTCCAGTCTGCCCGACTCCAAAGCCCAGACGTTTAACCTGTGACTACACCTCACTGTCTTCCTGGAACTTGAAGTTGAATTGAAAAGTGAGCAGATACGATATGGGTGCAAGTTAATATTGGAACTAATCAGATTCATCCATTCAATTCGATTGTTGCTTAGTAACATATTATTTAGTGACTAGGTAAGACTGAAAAATTTGTGTCTTCTTAACCATTTTAAGTATACAGTTCAGTAAAGTATATTCACGTTGTTGTACAAGAGACCTTTATAACTTTTCATTTTGTGGATTTGGTGTTCCACAGTCATAGCCATTAAACACTAAATCCCCTCCCTAACCCTTGCCAACCACTTTTCTACATTCTATGATTTTGACTATTTCATATACTTCATATAAGTGGTATATTATTGTACTTGTCTTTTTGTGATTGACTTATTCACTTAGCATTACGTCCTCCAGCTTCATCTACATTGTAGGATTTCCTTCTTTTTTTAAGGCTTCATAATATTCCATTGTATGTATACACCACATCTTCTTTACCCAGTTCATCAAGTCAGTGGACATTTGGGTTGCTTCCACCTGTTGGGTAATGTAAATAATGCTGCAGTGAACATGGGTGTGCAAATACCTCTTTGAGATCCTGTTTTGAATTATTTTGGGTGTATACCCAGAAGTGGGGCTGCTGGATCATATGATAATTCTGAGTTTAATCTTTGATGACCATTTTACATTCCCACCAATAATGTACACAGGTGTTTCAATTTCTCTGCATCCTTACAAGCACTTGTTATTTTCTTTTAATAGTGGTCATTCTAATGAGTGTGACAGGGTATCTTATTGTGGTTTTGATTTGTCTTACTCTTAATTTTACTAATGTTGAATATCTTTTCATATGCTTGCTGGCCATTTGTATATTTTCTTTGGAGAATTGTCTATTCAAGTTTTTTGCCCATTTTTTAATAAGGCTATTTGGGCTTTTTTGATGGGTTGTGGGAGTTCCTTATGTAGTCTAGATATTAATCCTTTATCAGATATGTGATTTGCAAATATTTTCTCCCCTTCTGTAGGTTGCCTTTGCACTCTTTTGATTATTTCCTTTGATGACAGAAACTTTTAAGTTTGATGTAGTCACATTTGTCTGTTTTGCTTTTGTTGTCTGTACTTTCAGTGTCCATATGTTCACTGCTAGTATATATAAATAAATTGATAATAAATGTTTATCTTATATCCTGTGACCTTGCTGAACTCACTTATTAGTTGTAGGATGCTATTTTTAAAGATTCTCTGGAGTGTTTTTATGTAAACAATTGATCATATAATCTACAAATATAGACAGTTTTATTTCCTACTTTCTCACTTACATTCCTTTTTCTTGTCTTATTGCATTGACTAGAACTTTCAGCATTATATTTAATAAGTGTGGTGAAAGGCATCCTTGCCTTGCCCCTGACCTTAGAACAAAGCATTAATTTTTTTCCCTATTACATTTAATGTTATCTGTAGATGCAGATTCACTTTATCAAGTTGTGGAAGTTCCCTTCTAATCCTGTTTTTCTGAGAGTTTTTATCATG